TGTAGATAGCATATGGTTGGATCATGTTTTTATATAATATGCAGACCTCTGACTTTTGATTGAAGAATTTAATCCATTTGTGGGAGACGGGGGGAAGGGCAACATACGTAACCTAAACGTCTGTACCCCCATAATATGCTGAAATAAAAAAAAAAAAAAGAATCAGTAAGTAGTAGAAAAAAAATAAAAAAAAATTAAAAAAAAGAATTTAATCCATTTGCATACTATGTAATTACTTATAACATATGATTAACACCTACCATTTTGTTACTTGTTTTTTGTATGACTTGTGTTTTTCTTATTACTCTGCTCCTCCATGACTGCCTTCTTTTATGTTAAATATTTTCTAGTGTATCATATTAATATCCTTGTCATTTTTACCATACATTTTGAATTATTTTATTAGTTGTTGCCTTAGGGATTACATTTAATATCCTAATTTACAACAATTTAGGTTTGATTAATACCAACTTAATTTTAATAGTATACAAAAATTTTGATCCTATGTAGTTCCATTCTCTTATCCTTTTGGCTGTGATTGTCACAAATTATATGGTTATGTATTTTGTGTCTATCCATCCTGAGTTGTAATTATTGATTTTTATCAGTTACATAATCAATTATAATAATTATTGATTTGTATAATACCTATCTCTTACTATTCTCTATGTTATGACATATCATTCTTAGGGTTTCTTTAGTTCTTTATACATGGTTTTCTTTAGATTTTTGAAAATGTATGACATAGCTAATTTAGAGTCTGTCTAATAAGTTTGGGCTTCCTCAGAGACGCTTTCTGTTGATTGATTTTTTTCCCCTCTGCGTGGGTCACATGTTCTTGTTTGTTTGCATTTTTCACATTTTTTTTTTGAAACCTGGACAAAATAATACGAGACCTCTGGAAATCTGATGCTTACCTCCATATACCTCCCCCATGTTTGTTGTTATTGCTCTTTGTTATAGTTATAGCTTCTTTGTTTTTAATTTTGTGACTTTTCTTAACTAATTTTCTAAGAACTTTATTTTCGTCATGTGTATCCAATGAATTCTCTACTTGGTCAGCTTAGTGATCGTCTAGTGATTTGAAAGAGAGTGTCTGAGTCAGTTTGAGCTGCTAGAACAAAATACCATAAAATGAGTAGTTTATAAACAACAGAAATGTATTTCTCACAGTTTTGTAGACTGGGAAGTCCAAAGTCAAGTCACTGGCAGATTTGGTGTCTAGTAGGGCACTCTTCTTGGTTCACAGAACAGCACGTTCTCACTGTGTTCTCACATAAGGGAAGAGGCAAAGCAACTCTTTGGGCCCTTTTTTATGAGGACACTAATCCCATTCATAAGGGCTCTACCCTCATGATCTGCTCACCTCCCAAAAGTCCCATCTCCTAATACTATCACATTGCTGATTAGGTTTCCACATAGGAATTTTGAAGGGAATACAAACATTCAAACCATAGTAGCCTGGGACCAATAAATCTTACAATGTTTGCTGAGGGACTCTGTGTGCATGGTGGGATGCACCTTCAATATTTATCCAGGGAGCTGATGACTCTGCTTTGTTTTCATTTCCTGCTTTCACAAAGCCTCAAGGTCAACCAGAGGTGAGAGTTTAAGTGATTTTTAGGCCTTTTCAGAGCATGTGCACAGCCCTACGTGTGCGTGTGTCCTTCTAGATTTGCAGAAATGTGCTGGAGTTTTTCAAAGCCCCTATCAACATCTCACTCCCAGGAGATTTATGGTTAGTCTATTGTTTTCCCCAACTGCCTTGACCTTGGACTTCCCAGTCTACAAAACTGTGAGAAATAAATTTCTGTTGTTTATAAGCTACTCATTTTATGATATTTTCATACTACCTCAGGCAACCATGAAGTTAAAACACTTACCAGTAACTGTTTTCAACAAACCCCTTCTCTAGAGAGAGCTTTTGGTACTAAGCAAACTATTAATATGGTCAATTTCAGATGGCCATTTAATTGAGGTCTTTCAGGGAACCACTAGACAAATAATAATTGTTTGAGAATGAGGCTTTGAAAAAGCTCTAGCTCCATCCTACTCATTCTGGTGGCTGACAGGCTGCACCAAAGATACAG